TGACTTAAAGTGTTAGTCTCCATTACACATACTCTGAAAACAGAAAGGTTCTAGACCAGGCCTTAGAGCTTCTAGTTCTCTGTACTGTTAATGTTTTTGCTGTCCAGGGCTGATCACACCGTTATGTAGAGTGAGGCAGCCTCCTCAGCAGCTGGATGTGGAGTTTCCAGAGAGACCGCAAACCTGCTTGTTTTTGCTACTTAAATTGCTATTATTCTATTTGTTGTGCTATGGCAGAGGAAAGTGTGTGTGTGTGTGTATGTATCAAAATAACGTGACTGGCCCTGAGGACTATAATCTCCACTGTGGGTTGGAACTGCCATCTGCCATTATGCCTCGGGCAGCAAAAGATCTTTGGCTGGCCCCATTTAGGTCACTGATAGTAGTTCTTAGGTATTTCCTCGCAGGTCTTCTGTGTATTCTAGCTCTTTCCATTCTACATAGACTTCTCTGCCCACTAGATCTGCAAAATCTCAACTATCTTTGAACTGTCAATTAATTTGAAAAAGTCTCTTGGTGACTCTGCTATCTCATCATTAATGTGCACAGTGCTCCTCTTTCCAAGGTGGGAAGAGAAGTTCCACTGTTGCTGCCACTGCTACCCCCACTCAGTACCACAACACTGCTCTCATTATGAATGCAAAGGATGGCAACAGTGGTGGCAGCAGCTTCTTTCTCCTATCTGCTTCTCCAACTCCATAGTGAGAGCACTTACTGATCAGCTGCGTACATAATCCCTGACCCTGATGACATCTGGGGTCAGGCATTATGCACAATGCACATTACCAGGTGAGAAATAGCCATGATATGGAGATGTCGCTGCAGCAGCTGCGATTAGAGGAAAAGACCAGCGGCTGCTGCCATCTGAGGCTGCACAGAGTAGGAGGGAGTGATAGTTCTGCCACCAAAGACCAGCGGCTGCTGCTATCTGAGGCTGCAGAGAGTAGGAGGGAGTGATAGTTCTGCCACCACCCCCAGCATTCCACTACCAGAGATAACATCCTAGCCCTAGTGCTTGTACAGAGTGAAAACAAAGATATGGATTTCTCTGGTGTGAAGCGTACAATGCCTAGATACAAAACAAAATGGAGAGAGGCTACAAAGCAGGTGGGCAACCTTTGGCCCTCCAAATATTTGGGATGACAACCCCTACAGACACATACCATCTGGGTGTGGTTGATGGGAGTTTTATGTCAAAACATCTGGAAGGCCAAAGGTTCTCCAGCTTTGCAACTGAAAAATCAGAGGAAAATGGAGGAGAGGAAGAACTGTGCTTTTCAGTTCAGCAACATATAGCTGAACTTACTGTATTTTTCTGCTTATAAGATGCCCCCATTTATAAGACCCACCCCCACTTTTCTAGCACAAACATTAAGAAAATTTAGCTGTGAGGACTCAGTTTCTGGGATCAGAATGCTCCAACATTAAGACTCCCTGTGGAATCTGAGCCTACAGGCTCCACCTCTGAGGTATGTTCCAATTGCTTTGTTCAGCATCAGCTGACATCAGTTCCATAAGCCTCGTGATTGAGGGAAGCCTTATTTACAGAGGCAAGGTATGGCCATTTTGTTCTCCATGTTCTCAGTTTGTGTAAAAGATACCCCTCAATTTTTAGTATAATTATTTTAGGAAAAAGTAGCATCCTATACACGGAAAAATACGGTAGCTTCAGCAGCCTGAGGAGTTGCAACTTCACAGAGAAAGCAACTTTGAAAATACAGTGGTACCTCGATTTATGAACGTAATCCGTATTGGAACGGCGTTCGTATGTTGAAACATTTGTAAGTTAAGGCAAAATTTCCCATAGGAATGCATTGAAAACCATTTAATCCATTCCGGCTGTTTTTTGTTCTTATGTTGAGGCGCAATTCGCAAGTAGAGGCATTGGTTCTCATAGGAACTAATGCAAAGCCGATTAATCTGTACTCTACCACTAGGGGGAGAATTTTTTTATTTTTTCTTCTTTTGACCTAAGTTCAACTTAGGTCAAAAAAAAAGGGCAGGAAAGTTTTTTGTTTATTTGTAAGTCGAAGCTCCATTCGCAAGTCGAAGCAAAATTGTGTAAGCTGAGCCGTTCGTAACTTGAAATGTTCGTAAGTGGAGACGTCCGTAAGTCGAGGAGCCATTGTAAAAGGGTATCATCATGTAGGCCCCCAATCCCACCCTGGTACTTTCCCCACACATTTTTTCAACATTACACAGCTGGATACGTCCGTAAGTCGAGGTGCCATTGTAAAAGGGTGTCATCATGTAGGTCCCCAATCCCCACACATTTTTTCAACATTACACAGCATGGATGTAGTTGAATTTAGGGGCTTTAAAAGGGGAGATGACCTCCAAAGTATACAAAATTGAAGTTAGCAAGCTGGCACTTTACATTTTTACTTAAAATTCAAGTACAAGACTTAAGAGGTTTTTTTAAATGAGTATCCCACAAATTTCAAAAACAACATTTTTTAAAAAAACAACTAATTCCTAAAGGAATATTTGAAATCTGCTTCACTTTGGAAAATGTGTAGAATTTTACTTCACCTTCTCCGTACCTTTCCTGTTGTTGCCCCATCTCCTTTTTTCCAGCTGGCCTTGTGGCCTTAACATGCCTTAGAGTCTGGCACTTGATCTGCACAGTAACAGCATGAAAACACTGAGATTTGACAACTCTAAATAGGGTCTGCGGAAGGAGCAGGCTGACAGTTCTGTACACAATAACCCTTTGCTCGATTCGTCCATCAGGCCCTCTGCCCCACTTCTCCATTCACATCTGCTCTTTTGGCACGGGTTGGGGGGATCACTTGGTCCTTTGGCATTAAACTCCAGGAGGCTCACATGGAGAGAGTGCTCATACAGTGGTCGATTTAGCTCTTTTGGCTGCGGTTGCTCTCTGAGGGATTAGCGCACTCTGCAGCATTAGTGATCCATTTAGGTTTTACGAAAAGGGGATTTGGCCATACAGCGTTTAGCTATTATAATGTTTAAATGTTTAACCACTGATGTCCAGAAAAAGGGGCAGGGAGCCATCATGAACAAGCTAGTGAGGAGCCGTGAGAAGCACAAAATAAGAGCTTTGGTGAGAACTGAGACACTTCGATCTGACTAGATCAGACAAGAGGTTAAGGGGAGGTCGGCTGGATGATAAGGAGGGGAGAACCCGAGTTGTAATCTTTTAAGTCTTTGTTTATAGAGAGAAGGCATAAAGGCACGTGGCAGTGGTATCATCTGTAGACTCAGGCCCAGAAGCTGTGTGAAATACCCACAGCAAAGTCCCACTGGACAGGCCTGGCCTCAAAGACTAGCCATAGGATTGCTGCCCAGGTCCATAGCTCACCAAGGGATCCTGCTACCAATATCTTGAGTCTCTTGACCCCTCATATATCTATAGTAGTCACCTTTCTCCTTCCCTGTGGCAGAAAGAAATACAGTAAACAGAGTTTAAAGAAGTGAGGGTTTTTAGAGTACAACTCTGAGCACAGATGGTTCATGCTTGGGGAAACACAATTTTGGGAGGAACCATCCTCCCCATTCCATGAGCCACCCCAAATCCCAGAATCCATCAGCCGGCCGGGACAATGGCTAGGGTGGCTGGAAGATTGAGGGAGTTGTCATCCAAAAATATTATTTTCCAGATTGGATAAGTGAATAATTGGCAATATCAACAGCCATGAAAAGAAGGAGAAGGCGACTCTGCTTAAGGGAAAGATTTTTCCCAAGGGTCCTCAGAAAGTGGAAGTAGTTCGGCCCTTAGGGCAGCCGTGCAACACGCAACAAAAGAAGGCAAAAAGATTAGTTTTAGCTCTGCTTAAGGGAAAGATCTTTCCCAAAGGGTCCTCAGAAGGTGGAAGTAGTTCGGCCCTTATGGCAGCCGTGCAACACACAACAAAAGAAGGCAAAAAGATTAGTTTTACATATTTCTTAGTACAGTACATGCAAACTTCAGTTTATGCATGTAGATTTTTAAAATAATCGGTAAAATTAAGGTAGAAACACAGACCTCCAGGCATAAATGGTGAGATATGTCACCATAACCAGGTAACCCATGTCCTTGCAGTCTGCTATATAGCTCTTATCTTTCTCATTTTTTTTATCCTTACACTGGATTTAGACAGGACTGCACTTCAAACTTGGCACCCCTTCAAACAGAGGACTCTCCTTTGTAAAGCAGTACACACCATGGTCACCCTGACTGACCCTGAAGTATGTGGAGTAAAGAGGGGGGGCATTCGTTAACCAAGAGGAGGAAGGTCACACATCCCCTCCACCTCTCGATCTGGTCAGAGGGGAAGCTTCACATACCTTTGTGAGGAGAAATCCCACTGAGCCTTTCAAGCTCCTTCTTGCTGGGGCTTCTGCTTTCCTCAAGCTTTGCCTACAGCGGATGATGTTTATCACCCAGCAGGCCTCAGACACCACTGAGCATGTGCAATCCTTTTAAGGGAAAGCCATTTTGAAACTAGGTAAAAATGTGTGCTGTAGACACATCAGGCAAAGAAATACAATTTTTTTTTGTTTTACTTCTTTCTTCTTCTTACTTCAGGATAAGAACAATGCTACTATTACACTGCATACTGAGATACACATGTTCTCATTCAAGCCTTTATGGGCTATAGGTTGACTTAGCTTCAATAACATTCACCCCCCAGTGCCTTCGGACAGTTCTCTGGGAAATTCTAATAATGTGCACAAGATCTTGGTCGTGGGAAGCTCCTGGGTACCTTAGCCTTATTTTAAAAATACTATAGGCATGATACTGTGGAGCCTGTCAATTTGGACAGATTTTTTTTTGCCCCAAGTATTAACTTCTCGTAATACTTTGGAATGAGAAACCTTAAATTAGTTGCATATGAACATGCAATAACTAAAAAGCAATTCAGACAGGAGACTCCAAAATCCAAAGACAGCTATTTTGCAAACTAATTTTGCACATTAACAAGATTGTCCTCAAGGATCTTCTGAACTGAAAAGGGGAGACAGACTAACTCAGAAAACTGCATTTCTTCTTTCAGTGTGTACCACAGGAAAAGCAGGGGTTTGTCCTTGGGAGATATCTTTGCCTCTGCAAACCAGGTTTCTACGGCATAAGCAAAGCCTCATCCTCCCCTACTGCCACAAATAATGGCCAATCTGGTATGTAGTAGCATTGTTTGTCTCCTTGTTGCAGTTTTCCCAGACTGAGATTGAATTTATCTGGTGAGAGAAAGAATCTTATTTATAAATGCTTGTTCATTCTGTTACATAACATGAAACCCCTGGAACCTCAAGCAGTTTCTCCTAAGGAAGTAGAGAGACAAAACTGTGTATGCTGTTTTACCACTTCCAGTAGTAGCGCATGTGGGTATATGCCTGCAGTCCTTACCTCAAGCTGAAACACAAAATAATTTGTATGATGGAATTTTCAAATACTTGAAAGATTGCCCTACAGAGGAGGGGCAGGACCTGTTCTTCATTATTCCAGAGGGCAGGGCACATAATAACAGGTTTTAAAAACAAAACTGGGAGATAACATTTTCAGAATAAATAATAATTCTGATTTGTTTTAAAATTATCAAGAACCATTGTGATGTAAAGTTTAGAGTATTGGACCAGGACCAAAAACACGGAATTCTAAATCCCTATGGAGTCTGCCTCTCCCCCCCCCCGCCGCACAAACTGCCCCACAGAATTATTGTGAGGATAAAATGGAGTAGGAAGAAGAGAAATATGTGTACCATCTTGAGTTACTTGTATGAAAGAAAGAATTTAAATTTAATAATAATAAATGGAAAAAGAATAGAGACAATATAGAAATAATGCCAAGAGACCTGTAATTGGCTGTTCTGTTTTTATTTATTTTAACCAACAAGATAAACACAGCAGGTGAGGTGTATATGGATCTTTACTGTGAAACCTGGGGAAGTTTTAAACACATTTTCCTCAGTGCTATTTGTCTGATTGAAATAATTCTGTGAAACTGTCAGTTTTCCTTTAAAGAGAAATATACAGGCAACCCAGTATATCAAATACTAGGTTTGGGAGATGTGCAATTCAAATTGGAGACAATTCACAGGGGGAGTGATTCACAAGAACTCTATGCCACTTCTCACAAAGTAATATCTGTTGCAAAATAAGTGGCTATATATCTTCATCTCTGTCTCATCTGCCTTTTTTCAGGCATTGTCATCAGCCTGTACTTCTCATAGCATTTCTTGCTAATGTGATACAGTACTCCACTTTTGTGCTTATTTGAGCATATTTTCTCCTCTTTTGTGACTGTGCCCTTGCTAATGTGATACTCCACTTTTGTGCTCACCAGCATATTTTCTCCTCTTTTGTGACTGTGCCCTGAGGTATAATTAGAGCTTGCAAAGGCTACCTTTTTTTGTGCTTATTTGAGCATATTTTCTCCTCTTTTGTGACTGTGCCCTGAGGTATAATTAGAGCTTGCAAAGGCTACCTTTTTTTACTTCAGCTCACAGAATGCCCAGCTAGGATATTTGGCTGGTGTGTTCTGAGAGTTGTACTCCAAAAAAGTAACATTTATAAGTTCTAGTTCTAATGTCAGTATCTACAACTTATTAAGGACTGTTCAATTGCTTTCAGGGTTTCATGGGCCAGCCTTGTCCCTCCCCCTTTGTAGTTCCACATAAGTACTACTTTTATTTGGCCTCTCCCAATTTGAAGAGATCTAGGATATTTGGCTGGTGTGTTCTGAGAGTTGTACTCCAAAAAAGTAACATTTATAAGTTCTAGTTCTAATGTCAGTATCTACAACTTATTAAGGACTGTTCAATTGCTTTCAGGGTTTCATGGGCCAGCCTTGTCCCTCCCCCTTTGTAGTTCCACATAAGTACTACTTTTATTTGGCCTCTCCCAATTTGAAGAGATACTTGTACAGCAGGCCGAGGCAAAGAGGCAGTCCCAAAACCAGCAAAACCATGGAGCTGGACAGGGGACAGACTGTATTTGTCTTCAGTATGGAAGGGATTGTCACATTCAAATTGGCATGCTCAGCCACACTAGACACTGTTCCAAGTCCTGCATACAGAGCATATTACCATAGTCTCTCGAGACTGAAGGATGCCTACTACTACTACTAATTTCTACTTTTTCATCACACTTAGGAGAATAAAATGCAGAAGATATTCAAATGAGACTTGCACTTATGCAACCACCGTCTATTGATGCTTGGGTCAGTGTGTCTCATATTCAACATCATTATCAGTTAAATGGTCAAGGTTCCAGGGACCTGCCCAAATTTTTTCAGGCCTGTTCCTTTCCTATCAAATACCTTGTAAAGAATTGCCTGGATACAGAAGGGCAGCCCAGAAGTCTCTGTTGATTTTAAGTGAGGAATGGGATCCATGATTTTAATAATTGCTTTTCCCAAATTAACAGAGGAAGATGCTTCCCAGTATGGAGCAACAGCTTCTGGAAATTGGCTAGAGTGCCGCCCCTGTCGGGAGGGATGTTCTACCTGCATTGATGGCACACCATGTTTAGTCCAGGAAGACTGGTTGTTGCGGGCGGCTGTTCTAGCTTTCCAAGCCTTCTGCATGCTGGCGGTTTTCTTCAGCATGCTGGTATCCTATCACTTCAGGAAGAGCAAGGTAAGGGTATTGGTACACAGTAGGAAGACTGTATGGATGTGCAAAAGGAGAGGGGCTATAACAACTTCCCCAAACTAGTATCCTCCAGATGTGTTGGTCTGCAGTTCCCATTATCTCCAACTGACACAGCCAATTGTAGAATAACACATCTTCATGGGTGACAGGAAGGATGAATGATGGTATACCTCTTTCTCTTTCCTTAGTCTAAGGATGTGTCAAACTGTTCTCACTACCAAATTCTGCTTGCCATTTTTTCTAGTGACTAGAACACTAGAGCACCACCCTCAAAGCTGCCATTTCTTAGTTGGAATGGGCTGTATCACCATTTCACTTTAATCTCTGTTTTCCTAGAGGATTCGGGCTTCAGGAGTTGTTCTTCTGGAGACGATACTCTTTGGCTCACTCCTGCTCTACTTCCCTGTGAGTATCCAGATTGGACCCATGTCGGTTGAGTTGTCAGAGGTTATATCTGCCGTACTACTCTGTCAGGAAGACTGAACGGGCATTGGTTCCCTAACTTCAGGGGGGGGGCTGATGCCAGGGAAAAGAATTGCTCACTACACTTCTCATGGATCAGTGCACTATATTCCAGCAAGGGGAACAGGCTGGACAAGAAGTGGCCAAATGGAGTTATCCATATATAGGCCAAAGAGACAAGTGTGGTTTGAGGAATTTGAGCCAAAGAATCTGTGTCTGAATCAACAGCCCATGAGGACAGGACAAGTGCAGGTAAGGGAAGAAATAGAACCTATGGGACTAGGGGCAGTAGTCTGAGGGATTTAAGAACAGCCAAAAAAGTCTTGAGGTAAATAAGAACACGAACTTCACAGATTATATTTTTTGCATGTATATGTAACCTACACATTAAAACTGAAAAACAAGGAATAGTCTATAGGGCAGAATAACAAGAAAGTGGCAAAAGGAGTTTAATGGATTCTGAAATAGACAAAGAGAATGAGTGAGACAAAATGAAATTGAGCTACACAAATTACAATGTTACTGTGTATATGCAGCACACACTTTAAAAGCAAAGCTTGTGAGGGGGACAAGGAAAAAAATTACAGAATTACTCCCATTCAGTGTGGTTTCTGTGACCTGGCACAGGACTGGCCGTTCCATTACATGGAATGAGGGAACTATCACATCTCAAGTGATGGAAATTGAAAATTGGCAGCAGTGGCAGCCACTCCCCTCTATCGGAAAATAGACTTCTTCTTCTTCTTCTTCTTCTTCTTCTTCTTCTTCTTCTTCTTCTTCTTCTTCTTCTTCTTCTTGATGATGATGATGATGATAATGATGATGTCACATTTCTCCCAACAAGGGACCCAAAGTAGCTCAGGACATTAAAATTCACACAATTAAAAAGTCAATAAGTTAAATAGATAACGCTGCACCGTTTGTCATGCACCCATTAAACTAGACTGTTGTCCTCAAACACAATGGAGACTCCTCCATCATCGGTACTGAAGTAACATTTACTGATAGCCCAATTCACTTCTGTACAGTATATGGAATTAAGGGCAAGGTCTCATCCTTTGCCTTAAAGAGCAAAACAATCTCAGCCTAGCCTTGATCTGATATACATTAGGCCAGAGTATCAAATTTGCATATATACTGTATGTCCTTAGCAGTATAAACCATTCTGCTTCTGCTGGTCATGGGGAAGGGGCAAAAAGCAATGCAATCCACTGAAGTCCCAGTCAATTACCACAAGTAAAATGGATAGGTCTCTTCTATTCTTGAGATTTTCAGAGTTTGGCAGATTACCTTTGAGTTTACGTTTGCAGTCTTAATGGCTGTGGCAAAGTAAGGAATTCAGTGCTGTACACCAGTGTCTGCATTTCATGGAACATACAGAGATATTGTCTTTTGATAAAAAGCAAATGTTCTTTGAAGTTCTTAATGAGGGATTCTCTGTATTAGGCCACCAGAAAAGCAAAACCAAATTATTGAAAGCAATATTTTTCCAACTCCCAAAGAGGAGCTACAGCCTCACTTTCCCTCTAATTATTATTTGGAATTGGGAAGTCACCTCCAGTTGATCACCCACAAGAAAAATATGGGTTGGCAAAGTCTGTGTCATCTGGATGGATCGTTGTGAAACAATACCATTTTGAAAGGGGGAATAATTATGTGATGCACACTTCAGTTATGTTTCCCGTTCTTTCTTTTCATTCAGGTTTTTATTCTGTACTTCAAACCAAGCATATTTCGCTGTATTGTCCTGCGCTGGGTGCGTATGCTGGGGTTTGCCATTGTTTATGGAACAATAACCCTTAAACTATACAGGTAATAAAGATCCTGAGGTGAGTAAAGAAATATTTTTGAAAATGAGCCATAGAAAGATCCACATGAAAATTATTAACTCTTTTTCTAGGCTTAAGGAAGTAAGTCCTTTTAGCCTCATATAATAACTCCAGACACAGTCAGAGAGACACTCAAAAAACAATTAATATATCTACATTATGTACCTTCCTACATTATATTTGTACTTGTTCAGACTTTCTATTTTGGTGCGGACTTGATCGGGTTACAAGGGGTCATTTGAAATTGGGGTGGGGGAGCAATGTGCCATTAGATGTACTATTTCCATCCCAATGGCATATCTTTTGGCTTGTCCTGTTGTCAGTTAAATGCTTCCCCTAATTATCTGGTGAAAGTCAGAGGAAGTGAAATTATTATTTTTACATCTGCTAGTTTGTTTCTGATATGATGAATCACTTCAATTAAATAAATAAAAAAAATTATTTGCCTGCCTATATATTGCTGATTGAGAATTTGCGCACAACCATGGTTTTGATCAGCAACACAGAGACAGGCAAATAATTTTTTAAAAAATGTAATTGAAGTGATTCATCACATCAGTGATGATCTAACAGATGCAATAACAAAGAATGTCATGTGCCCTGACAAGGGAAGTGTTCAATTTCCAATATCCTGGAGTGGTTAATAAGCCATTTCAGAATACTAAAAATTGACACAGGAAGAAGCTACTGGGCTCTAGTTTAGTCCATTCCAAGCAATTACACTTTTGGAAATCTAGTCCATTCCCAGCAAGTGTGGTTTCTTGGAATGGAGCCCTCCAAATCTGCAGCAAAATAGTAGAACCCCCTGACAGAAGTCTAAAAGGGCGAGGTGGGGGCCAGATTGGTCTGTTCTAGTGATGTCCATGTGTGGACAGTACAAAAAAAAGAGAGTAGACCGACCCCACCCATCAGTGCATCAAATAGCAGGACAAATCCCCATGTAGACAGTCTTTTTCTCTGTGGCTCTAGGCAGAGTTGGACCCCTCAAGTGGCAGCTCCTTACTGGTGAGGTGTGTAGAGAAAACCTATGTAGGCTGCACAGCTTGCTCTGCATCCCTAAGCTAGCCTTCTGCCCTGAGGAACAATGGAAAATGTTCCCGTTGCCAATGTCAAAATGAAAGTTGGTGGCCAAGCGTGTTGGACCTGTGCAGGTGAAAGGGCAGAGGAAGCCATCTTGTTTTTTACCTGAGCAGCAAATTGTCTTGGGCTGGCTCCATCCAGCAACTGATTTTGTGTTTTATGACTTTGTGGCACCCCAGGTTCCTTCAGACATTTCAGCTTTAAGAAAAAAATGTTTGTCCACAGACTTTTTAACCATCTTTGTTTTCTTGTCCTGTAGAGTCCTTAAGATATTCCTTTCCCGCACGGCCCAGCGAGTCCCTTACATGTCCAGCAGGCGGGTTTTGAAGATGCTGGCCTTGATTCTGCTCTTGGTGCTTTGGTTCTTATCTGCATGGACTGTCGGCATGCTGGAGAACATAGAGAAGAACATCCCACTAGTGGTCCTCTCCCAGACCACCAGAGGCCTCCAGTTTTTTATCTGCGATCATGACCGCTGGGACTACATGATGGTTGTGGGTGAGGAGCAGACCTCCCTATGCTTGATCATGTGACAGGGTTTAGTCTCAGAATATATGAGGCAGGGCAGGACATCCATTTTGTATCTGTTACCTCTCCCTTAGAGAAAGCTGCATCCTAGCCTCCTCCTTCCTTATCTATTGGGAGGAGATAGCTGCATCCTAGCCTCCTCCTTCCTTATCTATTGGGAGGAGATAATTTACATTTGGTGGGTGGCCTGCCTTGTAGCTTAAGGCAGAGGTCCCTAACCTTTTTCGGTCCGTGGACCGGCTGGGGAAGGCAGGGTACCCCCTGTGCTTGTGCACAAGCGCTGCGGCGCCGTTCATGTATGCGCACAAGCGAGTGTGCAGGCGCAAACAGCTTTTGTGAGGGTGAGTGCGTGCAGGAGGTGGGGCGGGAGGTCTGTCTTCTTAGCCCGGTCCAGCTCAGGCCACGGACCGGCACAGGGCTGCAGACCAGGGGTTGGGGACCTCTGGCTTAAAGCACCTGTGGCCTCTGCTCTAATTCTGCTCCAGATTCAAAGCCGAGGCAATTCACATGTTGGGGTTTTGATCCTCCTAGCTTGTCCCAGTTGCCCCTCTGCTGAAACACAGGCTGCTGTTCTGTGGTTGCCAGTGTTGCATTGGATGGGGGATTCTGGGAGCTGTAGTCCAGAAGAGGTATTTTTCCAGGCTCTGCCCACCCTGCGGTCAACTCCCATCCTAAATCTCATCTCCACAATGTCTTAAAACATTCCACTCTCCCTTAGTATTCTTTCCTTGTCTGTTTCCTCCCCATCACATGTGTCCTTGAAGGCAAGACTTCACTGCACATGCAGAAGACAATCTACACTTGTAACAATACACATTTCAGCTGCAAAGTGTCACTAGAGTCTTGTGCTTGTTTTGTATAGTTCCCTGTGCTCCATTTTAGAGGCCAGTAGGAGGGGTTGCATGCCTAAATGTCCCATACCACAGCTAAAACAGAACTTTTTGTGTGTGTGTTTGTGTGGTGTATCCTAAGATCTAATACTTCTAAAGATACAGAAAGCACCCATCACTGAGTCACCATTATCAGTCATCATCAGGGAAAAGCTTACTTTTAGTATAAAATGGAAAAGCTTACAGACAAGTTTTAATACAGCACCTACCTACTTACCTTTGGTCCTAGAAAAGGAAAATTGAGAGAGAAGAAGGGAACAGACAGATTTGAGGGCAAGAACATGACTATATGGGAGCTGCTTAAATTTCCTATTTTTCTGTCTGTTGCTAACCAGCTGAGATGCTGTTCTTGTTATGGGGAAGTTTCCTTTGCTATGCCACTCGGACAGTCCCTTCTGCATTCCATGAACCTCGCTACATGGGCATCGCCCTACACAACGAGCTGATAACTTCCACTGCCTTTCATGTTGTCAGGTGAGGACGGACAAATCCTTTTTTTAAATGGTGGAATGGAGTGCAGTTATACTTTGAAACCAGAGTTCAATGTAAATTGGTGTAGTGCAATGGCTGTGAGCTTGGAAGCTTCAGCTCTGACCTCTGCCAAGAGAACACCTTAAACAAAACACTAATATTTCAGTGCTACATTCATTCATTCTGCAATTAGTGTGGGCACTTTGTGTGCTGATGCACACAAAGAATTTAAAAAAAGAATATCATAATTTGGGAAGTCCAGGTTCAGTTCCCCACTGAGCCATAAAACTCATGTTGCTATCTTGGGCCAGACTCTCTCTCTCTCTCTCTCTCTCTCTCTCTCTCTCTGTCTCACTCTCTCTCTCTCTGTCTCTGTCTCTCTCTCTCTCTCTCTCTCTCAGGCTGACCTCCCTCAAAGGATTTGTGTGACAATAAAGTGCCAAAAAGTTTAGCCATGTGCACCACCTTAAACTCACTGGACTAATGTGGAATATAAATTTATAAATGTAACTAAAAAAATTAACAGATAACAAAATTGCCACTAATTCTGGTGGTAGCAACTTGCCAAATGCTGTCTGTTTTCCTATCCTTTTCTTCTAGCCTGGTATTATGCTAACAAGGAATGTACTACTAGCTTTCCTAACAACCTTATTTTTCAATGCACCCTATTCTACTCTACCCCATCCCGCTTATTTCTGGCTTCAGGTTTTTAATGGTTCCTTCTTTGCATCCTGACTGGACTTTGCTGCTCTTTTTTGTTCACACACATGTTACTACCACCATGACGTTGGCACTTCTTTTCATCCCAAAGGTAGGAACCCAACAAAATCCTTAACAAAAATGAAAAACCACTTCTCTTTCTCATCTCTCAAACTTAAAAAAAAAATGTTAGAAGAAGACACAAAGCTGTAGTTGTTTTCACTATTTAAAATACTTTCCATTTGCTACTTTGCCTTTTTGATATACAGTACATGACTTTAAAGTTTATATTGACGTATGTCCTTTTCTTTTGTGTGTTTGTGGCATATTGGCTGCCCAGAGGTTTTATGGCATCAGATCTGGCTCCAGGATTTGGAGTGGGGGCTGCACATAGTATTTGCAGTGGGGCTCCTTAACCTGAAAAAGGCAGGAAATGCATATACCACAATACATACAAATGTGTTTCCTGGGTTAAAATGTATACAGATATGCTATAAAATGCTAGAACATGCTGTGTAGAAAGATATATTTTTGAATGGAAAAAAGATTTTTAAAAACCCAACCCAATATTTCTATAATAGTAACAAAAACACCTCACAGACTGATAACAGGACAATAAACACTCATGATTTGATTAGGCATCCTTCAGTCTTGAGAGACTATGGTAACGTGCTCTGTATGGAGGACTTGGAACAGTGTCTAATGTGGCTGAGAAGGCCAATTCGAGAGTGACAGTCCCTTCCACACTGAAGACAAATACAATCTGTCCCATCTAACTCCGTGATTTTGCTGCTTTCGTGACTGTTTCTTTGCCTCAGCCTGCTGGACAGGGGTCTCTTCAAATTAGGAGAGGCCATGATGCACTGCCTGCCTCCAGGCTGAACGCTCAGATGTCAGGGTTTCCCATCTGTTGAGGTCCATTCCTAAGGCCTTCAGATCCCAAAACATTTTCGCTCTACGGCGATTTCACTGGAACGAATTAACATCGTTAAGCGAGGCACCACTGTAATAGTAAAAAAACACATCACAGACTGATAACAGGACAATAGACACTCATGATTTGATTAGGCATCCTTCAGTCTTGAGAGACTATAGTAATGTGCTCTGTATGGAGGACTTGGAACAGCATCTAGTGTGGCTGAGAAGGCCAATTCGAGAGTGACAGTCCCTTCCACAATGAAGACAAATACAATCTGTCCCCTGTCTAGCTCCATGATTTTGCTGCTTTCGTGACTGCCTCTTTGCCTCGGCCTGCTGGACAAAGGTTTCTTCAAATTGGGAGAGGCCATGATGCACTGCCTGCCTCCAGGCTGAACGCTCAGATGTCAGGGTTTCCCATCTGTTGAGGTCCATTCCTAAGGCCTTCAGATCCCACTTGTATTGCAGCTGTGGTCTCCCTCTGGGGCGCTTTCCCTGCACTAATGCTCCATACAGGAGATCTTTTGGAATCCGACCATCAGCCATTCTGACGACATGCCCAAGTCAACGTAGACTTTCATGATGAATACATGAAACACAGAAGTAAACTTGATACACACAGATCTGTTATTTAATTATGACTAGCAACCAGGGACAAACTATTAACCCTTCTTAAAACCTTCTGTGCTAGTGGCCATCCCAACATCCTGTGGTATTCAATTCCATAAGCCTATCATGCATTGTAGGAAGAAGAGTCATCTTCTGTTCATCATGACTGTCAATTAATTCATTGGATAGTTCGAGGGGTGGGTGGGTCTAAAGTCAAGAAAACGATAGGCATTTCTAGTGTTATATGTTTTTCCAATTCCCTGAGCCCCCGAGATGGAGTAGGCTACACATGTATTTATTATTACAAAATTTTTAATAAATTAAAAAAAGATAAACCCAAAGCATTAACCATATGAGATACATCTACAGATTGAAATAGAAAACAGATGAAAGTGACATACTTAGTATTTGTCCCTTATACTTCCTCTTACTTCCCTCAGTAACCAGCTACCTGTGTGTGATCTTTAGATAGATTCCTGTGCATTGTTGCTTTGATTGGATTTTAATACTACTTGTGTTTTCCATTTTTGCGTTTTTCATTTCTCAGATTGGCATTTTTAAAAAATTGTATACTGATCTTTGCCTTAATAGAGTATTGCCTGTTAATTATGTAAGATGCCTCTTTATTCATTGTTCATAGTTTTAAATTTTGTCTTTTAATGACATTAACCACTATTGTACTGTGTTTTCAACTTTAAATATTATCTTTCACTGTTGTAATCTGCTTTGGGTCCTTTTCAAGGAGAAAGCCGGGGTAAAATAAATAAATAACTAAATAATTTGTATAGATGCTGCAAGATCAGCTTTATGTCTTTTTCTATCACCTTCCAGGAGAGTAGGGTGCATAATAATAAATAAATAAAACAGACCTATAAATAAAATAAATAAATAAACATATGGAAATATGTTAATTAATTAATTATGTGCTATCAAGTTGATTCTGACTTACAGTAATCCTTGACTGGATTTCCTCAATATAAAATACAGTACTCAGAAGTGGTTTATCAATCTCTCCTTATGGTAATGCTCTATGCTTGTGCAGTTTGCCCAAGAATACAGAGGCTGGCCTTGCTCTTGGGAAGTTCATTGAGGAATTAGACTCCAAATTCCTAGCTCTGCAACTAAATGTCCCAATCCACTGAGCTATATAGCCAGCATGAAAATTTGTTATGGTTCGTATAATCAGTGAAAGGAAACCAGGTGTCATTACAAGCACAATGACTATGGCTATCACATGCCAACCAGCTGTGCTGGCTGGGGTTTCTGGGAGTTGCAGTTCAAAAACACCAGAGTACGCCAAGGTTAAGAACCACTGATATAATCAGTGAAAGGAAACCAGGTGTCATTACAAGCACAATGACTATGGCTATCACATGCCAACCAAATCTGTTCTGTTTGTCTGTGCTGGACTGCATAGTCTATTTAGCCAGTGCCTACTTATCTAGCCTTGGACATTATCTAGCCACTAATTAATTATCTAGCTCCACAGATTAATTTATCCATGTCTCCAGGCAGCCCTAGAAATTTATAACTAACATTCCCTATAATGTATCCCTGAAGGAAATTCAGCTTTCTCCATTCTATGTTGTCACACAGTTCCTGCATGCAGGGTCGCCCTTGCGGGAGGAAATAGCTGCTGAGGTCTACGAAGATGAGCTGGACATGAGGCGCTCAGGCTCCTACCTGAACAGCAGCATCACATCGGCGTGGAGTGAGCACAGTCTTGACCCCGATGACATTCGGGTGGGTGGAACACTCAGGACCTTCTTTTGACGCTAGCTATGCCAGAAACTGTGCAGAGTAAGAGTTGCCTTTTGCAGTCTTTCTCATGAAGCTAAAACATATTCCCCCCTCCCACATAATGATACATAATTTCAAATCAAGAAAGTGGGTGGGGAGGAGAAGGTCCACAAAAATCAGTGTGGCTGAACATCATTTCTTGTCTCCTTGAATATCGGTTATGGAGAACACACGGGGATGGGATAGAAGAAAAGTATTTTTCGGCATTAAAGGTATGAGTGCCTGGATACTTTCGCTACTAGGCAGGCTTTACTTTGGAACAGTTCTCATGTGTGGGATGACAGCAGGTACCACACAGTCACAGGATACCTGCCTGGAATGCAGAGGGTCTCGGGTTCAATCCACAGCCTCTCTAGATATGGCTGGGAATTCAGATTCCCCCTGAAAGCCTAAGAGAACTTCTACCAGAGTAGACAAGACTCAGCTAGGCACATCAATAGTTTGACTTAATGTAAGGTAGCCTAAAATATTGCAGCGCAGGATTTCTTCCCAACAGCCCCAGTAAGTATGTTGCACACACAGCAAAGAGTTCAAACAAGAAATGTCTCTATAAACATTCATCCCATGCATTCTGAGTATTTAATTAATTTTCCTTTCAGTGCTAATGGGAACCTGCCTGTACATTTTTTTCATACCCACCACTGAGCTAACCTTTCTGGCAGCTTTGCTTTTAGAAGACATATATTTCATCAAATGAAACAGTGAAGGGCTGTTGTAGCAGCAGCATAGACTGGGGACACTGGATTTTTAATGCTAGTTATTCCTGGGATAAAAAGTTATCTGAAGGATGTTGACCATCTGCATAATGCTATGCATTCAGAAATCTAACAATATTGTCATTTAGTCCACATCTTAGCATAATGTTGTCATTATGATTTTGACTGAATAAGCATTTTTATTTTATTTTTCCCCACCCACCTATCTGTGTTCCCTACCCTTTGCCATGTTGTCCCCTCCCTGCTGCACATAACATGTAGGATGAACTTAAAAAGCTTTACACGCAACTGGAGGTTCATAAAACCAAGAAGATGGCGGCCAACAACCCTCACCTTCAGAAGAAAAGAAGTTCCAAGAGGGGCCTAGGCCGTTCGCTCATGAGGCGTATCACTGAGATTCCAGAATCCATGTCCCGGCAGTGCAGCAAAGAGGAGAAAGATGGGTCTGTGGGTGGAGGAAATGCGAGTCGCTCTGGCTCCTACAAGAGAAGGCGTTTGGACTCTGGTAGCTCCAGCGTGAAACTGAAAGACGACTCCTCTTCCAAGCCTAAAGTGGCCTCATCCTTGAAGAAGTCCCACAGCACCTATGATCACACAAGGAACAGCAAAGAGAACAACCTACCAACGAGGCACGAGAGTTACAAAGAAGCACCTTTACTGGACTCAATGATGAGGAAAAAACTAGCCAAGAAAGCCTCAGAAAGATCCAACAGTGACTCTCTTGATGACTCAGCTCCTCTGGTCTACAAGTCAGCCAGTGCTCACAATCTGATGGCAGAAAGAAAACCTCTACACCCTAGGCCATCCCCCCTGCAGAAATCTCTCAGTGTTGTCACCAGTGCCAAAGAAAAAGCATTGTTGCTAACTAATAGGGCCTACCTAGAAGACAGCAGCAAACTAGCTCAGGACAAAGAGAAGAAAGCAGCCACTGAAGACTCCACAACAGAAAGTGAGGTCTCTGGGCACACTGAGGTTACTGACGTCAGCTCCAAGACAGCAGGAAAAGACTGGCAGACAGATGACACATCAGAAAGAACTGTGAGCTCTCTTCTGGAAGATGGTAGCAGCAGTCAAGATACTGTGTGCCCATGGGAAACTGTGACAGCCCCATCCACACCCTCTGAAAACAAGTCTCAGAAACATGTCACATATGCTCCTATCAGGAGTCTCAGCATCAACACCTCTGAGTTGCCAGGAAGGAGACACCATGCCAGTAAGAAGATACCGCCTGAACCACCTATCAGGCAGCAGAGTTTGGTTCACACTTTTGAAAGGAAAGATGTCACTCCCTGGGATGCACAAGAACAAACACAGACTTCTGGCCAGTGTCTCAAAAAAGATGACAAAGAGAGACCAATGCTGGCAGATGTACATCTGTCAAAGATGGAGGAGTCTCTAGAAAAGACTGAGGTGCAAAGGAATCAGCAGACAGAAGATAACGTACCACCTTCTACCCCTGCAGGATTAACCAGACTAGCCTCCATTGCTGCAGAGGTCTGCCCGTGGGAAGTCATGGAAGTGCCCATTCCAAGGAAGAAAGACCCAGAACTGAGTGAATCAGATAGTCAGAAGAGCTCTCCTGAGAAACAGATCCCCATTCCCAAAAGTACTATGAAAAGCTTAGGTCTTGCCATTAAAGCATTCAACCGGTCAAGGATGAAGACAAACATAAGAGCAAGAAAGGATGATGAGGGAAGTCCAAAGAAAACTGGAAGAGAGACAAGTGGAAAGAATGAAAAACATCAAGTAGCAGAAGGAGCCTTGATGTCTGTAGGAGGGTCACCAAGGCAACGGGTTATATCTAGGGGCTCCAGGGAAACAGTCAGTAAACAAGCGACCATTTGCCCTTGGGATGAGGAGGAAGAAGAACTTTCCAGCTCACATAAAAGCAGTCCAAGGAAAGTTCTTGAAGTATGTCCTTGGGAGGCAAGTGCAGATGGCCTCGCCCAGGACAGAGCAAGCAGTACAGAAGCACCAGCTTCCACTTGTACGAATAGGCTGCACTGGATCAAGAGCCAACGAGAATCTGTCTGTCCCTGGGAAACTATAGATGATGATCAGACTAAAGAGGAAAAAATCTCCAACATCTCTCCAATAGTCCTGAAGACAGAAAAGAAAGCGGAAACATGCCCTTGGGAACTGGAAGAGGTCGTGCTGAGCACTAGAAGTGAAGCCCAGGAAAAGGCAAGTGGCTTGCATGATTCCAGGGATATCAAGAAGCCTCCTCTGGGCACAGAGGTTAGAAAGAGCCCAGATCTCTCCAAAGCAGAGGAAAAGAAATCCAGGAGTGTTGAGAGCCACACATTTAGTCCCACAAAATTGGAGGGCAGCACAGATGTTAAAACAGAGGTCTGCCCTTGGGAGGCAGAGGAATCTCTATCAAAGCAAAAGATGTCTGAGGAGGATCGTGAAAGATTTTCCAGAGAGAAGGGCACTACTCCAAGAGCAGAAGCAATAAAGACTTACCAAGAACACACAGTTTGCCCCTGGGAGATCATGGAATCACCAGAAAGAATAGATGCTAAAAGTACATTGAGTCAGAGGGTATCTGACAATGTAACAAGCATCAAAACTGCTATATGCCCTTGGGAGTCAAGTGATACACCATCAGAAGAAGCTAGAGAGGAGTCCAGAAAAGACCCCAAAAGGTTTGAAGGTAGAAAGCTCAGAAGTCCATTATCAGAGGAGATCAAAGATAGAGAGAGCACCCCTCGAGACTCTGTTTGCCCTTGGGAGGATGCAGGTGCTGCAGATTCTTCTACGAAACCTGCTGGCAAAATATTAGACCTTGGCAAAATAGTTTTGAAGAAATCTAGCAGTGGGGACAGTAAAAAGGTAGAGGTCTGTCCTTGGGAAACCAAGACAGCTGAAGTGTGTCCTTGGGAAGTAGTTTCATCCACCATGGAAAAAGGGGTGGAAGAAATGGAAGGACAACTCTCCAAAGGCATTACACTGAAAGCACTGCCTCCTCTTAAAGGACTGGAGGACAGCAAACAGCGTGAATCTGTCTGTCCCTGGGAAGACACAGAAGCAGAGGCTGCTTCACTAAAGCCTAGTGCAAAAACGTTAGAACCAAATAAGGCAAGCTCTGATAGCTTCCAGAGCAAAAAAGCAGAAATTGCTCCTTGGGAAATACAAGAGGCAAAAATAGACATTAAAACAGCCATATGTCCCTGGGAGAGTGATGATACCCCAGTGCACACAAAAAAGTTTAAAAAAGATGCAAGTTCACTCTCAAAAGATGAGAAGAAAGAAACCAGAGATACAGCCCCAGAGAAAGATGACGATGGTACAAGGGAGTCTGTCTGTCCATGGGAGAGGACAGAAGACAAGGAAATATTGATCAAACCTAAGCCCCAGAGCTCCTGTGTCTCCAAAGGTAGTTCAAATAAATCAGGCAGTGTTGAAAGCTTCAAGGCAGCTGTTTGCCCTTGGGAAAGTGAGGGCATCGAAGTCAGCACTAAAGCAGATATCAGCCCCTGGGATACAACTCCAGTTCCATCAGATAAAAGATCCTCAAGACATGATGCAGGTGGAACCCTGAAAAGAACAGGAGACGTTGCGTCTAAACCTCTAGAGAAGGCAAGCAGTTCCCGAGAAAATATATGTCCTTGGGAAACCATAGACACTGATGACTCATCATCTGAGCCTAGTGCCAAGAGACCAGATCTAGCTAAAGTCAAGTCTAAAAAATCCAGTAGTACTGACAGCCTCAAGGCAGAAGTTTGCCCATGGGAAAGTCAGGAGGGTGAGCCCAGCATTAAGGCAGCTGTATGTCCATGGGAAGCTCCTGAAAGCCCTGTGGGAGAGAGACCATCATTTAAAAGTGTTGGTGCTTTTGAAAGGCCAGCTCCACAGAAAGAAGCAGGCCATTCTAAAACAACAGAAAAAATTATCAGCCCTCTTGAATCAATCTGCCCCTGGGAAACCATGGACACTGACAAGCCTTTGTCAGAGGTCAGTGCCAAGAGTCGAGAAGTGTCTAAAGTCAGCTCTAAAAAATCTGATAGTAGTGACACACACAAGGCAGAAGTGTGTCCTTGGGAAAGTCAAGAAGCTGAGCCCAGTGTTAAGGCAGCTATATGTCCATGGGATGTGCCTGAAAGCCTGGTCGATGAGAGACCATCATCGAAGGGTGCTGAGGCTCTTGAAAGGCACAAGTCAGTCCCACTGGAACAAGCAGGCCATTCTAAAGCGACAGAGAAGGTGAGTAGTCCCCAAGAAGCTATCTGTCCTTCGGAAACCATGGACACCAGTGAACCTTCCTCTCAATCCAGGGTTAAAAGCCTAGGGCTATCTAAAAGCTATAAACTATCAAGTGGTACTGACACACTCAAGGCAGAAGTGTGCCCTTGGGAAAGTCAGGAAGCTGAGCCTAGTACTAAATCAGACGTGTGCCCATGGGAAGTGTCAGAAACCTCAGTGGATAAAAGACCATCACTGAAACGTGCTGGGGCTCTTGAAAAATCTAAATCAACCTCTCTGGAACAAACAATCCATTCTAAAACAGTAGAGAAGACAAGCAGCCCTCAAGAATCTGTCTGCCCATGGGAGAGTGTAAATCCAAGCGAATTCTCTGCTAAACCTGGACAGTCTAAAGTTACTTCAAAGAAATCTGACAGTGCTGAAAGCCTAAAGGCAGAGGTTTGCCCTTGGGAAGTGGTTGAAGAAAGTGTTTTGAGAAAGGATGATGGTAGCAGGGCTCTCCAAAGGGAAGACAGCAGGAGTACTTCCCATAGGAGCATCTCTAAAGCGATGGAAAGATTGAGCAGATCACGAGACGACGTCTGTCCATGGGAGAGCATGGAGCTTGAAGGGCCTTCAATGAGATCTGCTGGCCAAAGTCCAGCTCTGTCCAAAGCTGGGTCAAAGAAATCTGACAGCGCTGAAAGCTTAAAGGCAGAGGTTTGCCCTTGGGATGTGGTTGAAGAAAGTGTTTTGAGAAAGGATGATGACCAAAGGGCAAACAGCACAAGTACTTCCCCTAGGAGCATCTCTGAAGCAATGGAAAGGTTGAGCAGGTCACGAGACGACGTCTGTCCATGGGAGAGCATGGAGCTTGAAGGGCCTTCAATGAGATCTGCTGGCCAAAGTCCAGCTCTGTCCAAAGCTGGGTCAAAGAAATCTGACAGCGCTGAAAGCTTAAAGGCAGAGGTTTGCCCTTGGGATGTGGTTGAAGAAAGTGTTTCGAGAAAGGATGATGACCAAAGGGCAAGCAGCACGAGTACTTCCCCTAAGAGCATCTCTGAAGCAATGGAAAGGTTGAGCAGGTCACGAGAGGATATATGTCCATGGGAGAGCATGGAGCTTGAAGGATCTTCTCCGAGATCTGCTGGCCAAAGTCCAGCCCTGTCCAAAGCTGGGTCAAAAAAATCTGACAGTGCTGAAAGTCTAAGGGCAGAGATTTGTCCATGGGAGTTCATAGAGGAAGAGGAAGTGAGCACCAAGACAGAAGTGTATCCATGGACAGCAGCTATGGCTCCCTTTGAAAAGGGGAAGTTGAAGCAGGACCCAGCTGAAACTTTGAAAAGAAAGAAAGACCAAGTGCCACTAGGAGCTCTGGATTCAAAGAAAACTGGGGGAGAATCATCATTTAAGAAAATAGAGAAGTCAAAAAGCCACCAAGAGTCTGCTTCCCTTTGGAAGAGTATGGAATTTGACAAACCACCTGCCAAAATCACCCGAAGTCTAGATCTGTTGCAGGTGAGTTCCAAAAAATCTGAAAGTGTCGAGAGTCTAAAGGCAGAGATTTGTCCATGGGAATTCCAGGAGATTCCAACACATGCTAAAGCTGAAATCTGTCCATGGGAAGTAACTGAAGGACCACCAGAGAGAGGGACCTTAAAAAATTACCAGGGCATGGTTTCTAGTGATGAAACAAGCACCAGCCCAATAATGAGACTGTTGAAGACAGAGCAGAGACGCGGCAGTCAGCAAGAATCTGTTAGTTCTTGTGAAAGTGTGGAGCTATCACAAACTCAAAGTCCCAGTTTGCCAAAAAGTGGCTCAAAGAAATCAGTCAGTGTTGAAAGCTTGAGAGCTGAAGTATGTCCGTGGGAAACCGAGGAAGAGGAGCCTAGTGGCAAGATTGAAACGTACCTCCCTAAAACAGCAGCAATCCCATTCAATGAAGGATCACTAAGACAACATATTTCACAAGGCAAAACACAGCTAAGCCCAGGTGTGATTAAAACTGGGGGGGAAACTGTATCTAAAAAGATAGAGAAGACCCATAGCCATCCTGAATTAGCTTATCCTCAGAAGAGTACTGATGAACTGTCAGTCAAACCCAGTAGTAAGAGTTTAGATTTGCCTAAGGTGGTCTTTGTGAAATCTGACAGTATTGAAAGTCTAAAATCTGAAATCTGTCCATGGGAAGTTCAAGAAACTGGAGCCTCTACCAAATCTGAAGTGTGCCCTTGGGAAGTGGTTGGGACTCCACTGGACAGAGAGACATCGAGTAGGGATGGAGCTGCCATTTCTAAGAAGGATATGAATGTGGATTCTGCAAGTCCGATAGGAACAATCAGAACCCCGGAGAAAGGCAGAAGCATTCGAGAATCTATCTGCTCATGGGGGAGCATAGCTGCTGTGGATGTCTCAGCATCAAATACTTCTGCTAGTCTTTCTTCAAAAAAGCCTGACAGCAGCAACGACAGCAAGAAGACAGAGATCTGTCCTTGGGAAACAGATCAGCTGGAAAAGGAAGATATTTGTCCAAGGGAAGCAAGACTGGTACTAGCCACTGAGGATGAAAGAGCTATGCCATATGCCCGTGCAGCAGAGATGCCAGCAGCCAGCATGAAAAGATCCCAGAGCGAACAGGAGGGCTTGCCTGAACACAAGCCCTTGTGCCGCAGCCTTCCTGAAACCACACTACCTATAGACTTAAGCAAAGGGAGTGGCCCAATGGTGGAAGTACTGGCAAAAAGTAGACATGACAGTACTATAGCTGATATCTGCCCTTGGGAGGCTGAGGAAGACCCCACGGCCACAAGGAAAGACTCTGCTGGAATCACCAAAGCTTTGTCAGAGGTGTGTCCATGGGAGATAGAAGACACCAGCCCCACTTCGGCCAGTTCAGCTAAAAGCAAAGCAGGGGAGGAGCCAAAGGCTGACAAAGCATAAGATCCTTATAAACCCAAATCAGATATTTGTCCTTGGGACTGAGATTGAATGTGTTTACAGATTTTTCATAGAAGATTATCTACTGACTGCTCATGTGCCATAAAATATGGCTTACTTTTAGCCCACTGCCTGGTTTAATAACAAAAACAAAACAAACAAACAAAAAGGACAGCTGCCAGCTTCGGTGATGGTGCCCATCATATTTGTTAATGCTTGGAATCATGTTAAAGCAGTCATGAGACAGGGGACTGCAGCCATTAGGGAACAGCGGTACCTACCTGCCTTCATCTGCAGAAAGAGCAGGCTAGCTGCAAAACTCTGCACATTCTGCTCCATATGTGTAAAAATGTAGCGTCACGATCCCTGCATTGTTATGACTCATAAGGTTTCCAGTTTGTATACTCCTGATGTCTGTAAACAACAACATTTTTATAACATGTTTGAAGTAAGAAGTTGCAACCAAACACTGGCTTTATGCAGTGCTTTGTTTGAGGAACATCAAACAAAAACTGGAAATTAATGGCAGATAGGGGGACTTCCGTAAGTGTTCTAGTTTTTGCTGTTTTTGTTTCATTTTGTTTTATTTTGTTTTGCAAATATGATCCCAAGTGGAAATCTCACAGGCATGGAAGAGGAACAATACAGTATAGTAAATTATGATTCATAGAAGACTGTGTAATGCATCTAACAAATTGTTAATTTATTCAGTTTACCTGTATGCCAGAGGGAGAGAAAGATTACTATTTAGACTCTTCTTATTCTGTTTGATACTTCTGACAGACTGTTCCTTCAGTTTTCTAGAATGGCTTCTGGAAGTGTTAAATAATATTTGAATTGCCTCAAATATATCTGAATGGTACTTGTGGGTTTTCAGTCATCACTGAATCCATGCTCAGCCATTTCTACTAGGAAGCATAATGAGAACGAGGTATTGCCAGGCACAGAGGAGGCCCTGGTTTTGCTTGAATGCATTTTAGATTTTCTGAAACGTTGCGTGAATACTGTTTGTGTTGTATCTGCCATTAAACCCATTTGTGGATTTGCAATTATGAATTTTAAGGCACTGGTACTCATCATAAACAGCCCAAACAGCCAGACGCCCAAGAAGAGTCTAGAAATGCAGGCAGCTAAATTTGTTTGTATCCATCTCTACCAAGTCATATCTATAAATTTTAATTGCCTTTCCAAGACCTATTTACCACAAAATACTTTGTATTTTAATAGTGATAGGCCAAAAGAGGATGTTGCTGCTAGGAAAAAGCTACACTCCTGCAAAGTAGTGTGAGAAAGGATTGTAGAAAGGATTAACGTCAGATGGGAAAAGGATACTTGAGGGGGCTGATAAGATGGACTTACTGTCCCTGCTAATTTAATAGTCCTGACACGTTGACCTTGTGAGCCTTGGCTTCACTGCACCACTGTCCTTGTGCAGTGAAAAGGAGCCAGAAGTACATTCTCTTGTTCTAATTCAGTTCATGCAGGATACTTCTTAGGAAGCTGCCTTATTTAGAGTCGGAGCACTGATCCATGATGTCTGTATAGTCTACATGTCAGATTGGCAGCAGCTCTGCAGACGTGCTGACAGGAGTCTTTCTTTGGCCCTACCTTGACATTGTTGGGACTGAATCTGGGATGTTTGATATGCAAAACATGTATTGGGCCACTAAGTAATTACTCTTTCCTGTTCTAAATTTGGAGTGTCTCATTGCTGTACTGCATACACTGAGTGTGCATGTTAGCACACATCAAGCTCTTCCCTGCAAGTGAACTGAAGGGGACGGTCAGTTTATGTGTATATTTGTGAGTTCTGTTAAAAAAAAGGTAGTGGGAAACCAATAGGATGGGGGCTTGGGCTACACCTGCCCTTAGGCTTCTGCTGACTTTATTGTTTGGTTGATAGACATGTTCTGCTCTGTATCAGACTACAATCTATTTATTTATATGAAACTCTGCAGGAGCCACTAAAATTGACACTACCTGTATATCCCAACTCTACATTAGTTATTGACAAGATCTGGTGCGTCATAGCATTTAGGGAAATAAACTACAGAAGAGAGCAGAGTATCTTTGGTTCACTTCTTGCCTTTTCCATTAAATCTACAGGTTACATTAGGGAAACTGCTTTCTTTCAGTTTCAAAATACTGTACTTCAAATTACAACAGGAATACATCCCAACAAAATATTGTTAGTAGGAAAGATCCAATTTGTAGTAAAGTCTTCTTGTTTATCTTCTGCTGGAGGTTAGATTTCATGATGGTTATTCTGACGGTGGTCGCTGCAGCTTTAAGTAATGATGTTGCATTGCACCCATACTATTCTCTGCAGTAGGGAATACAATAATGACTTAATTTGCAGAGTTATTTAGGATTACAAATAATGCTTATGAAGCATTTTGTACACTAGAAAATGATATGCAGATATTAAGTATTTTATTATCATAACCATTACAGTATTATCAATGTGATGTAACTTTGAAGACCAGAAGAAATTGTAGACATCAACAACACATTCAAATTACACTAATGGTATTGTACACATGGAAATGCCCTTAAGACAACATTAACAACAGTATTGTAAGGAACAAAATAGATTACATCCTAGTTAATTAGATAACAACTCAACAACTATGCAAAAAAGAAAAAACGAAAGCACTGAAATCAATGAAATAACCCAAGTGTATGTCACAAAAAAGGGATTCATGAAGGCATCAATATGATCAATCATCATGCACTAAAATAGCTTATATTTATGCCTCTTGCTTCAAACAGACAGAAGTATTAGAAGATGTGAACATCAACAATCTCAAAAGTAATAATGTAAATAAATAAAGGATAACTGAGGAACTGCTAGAGCTAAGGGAAGAGAAATAAAAAATAGAAATATTCCATTAACTATATAAGAACCTTTGAAACAAGGTTGAGAAAGGCAAAGTGTTGGTCCAAATAAAGGCTGAAATCCTGTTATGCTGCAACACAAAAGGTGCAATTTTTGGAGACAAAATGTCTCAAGTTAAGAAACATCTGCTGCCATTCATTGAACATGAGTCATACAATTCAGTATGCAACAGATAATGTTTCTGGAGAGTTCTTAACTTCAGGCGATTCGCCTACAAAAGTTACGCCTTTTGCACCGCAGTGCAACAGGATTTTACCCAATCTACAGAAACAAACTGTAGAGAAGGTTCAGATCTCCTTTAATGTGGGGGGAAAATCAAGGGGATAGTAAATATGTATTCACGAAGGATAGTAAATATATTTAAATTTTTTAATATATTTGATAACAGAAAATAAGATAAAATAATGTGATTCAAACAATCAGGAAGTAGATTTAGGTTCTACAATAGGATGGAATCATCAGCACTAAGAACATAATGTAGAACTAACTTCGTCTTAATTTTTGGGGATGCACAAGGTGGCATGGACAAATTGCCCAGTCCATATGGTGACTCATTGCAAACAAAAAAAGTCTACATGTTGCAACAATTGAAACAAGCACACATAGAAGTAGTCTTCAGCTGGTACCTGTAGCTCAATAATAAAGGCATGGCCTTTCATGCATAAGGTCCAGATTCAATACTAGGCATCTCGTATACTAGGCATCTTGTATACCAGGCAAAAGATTCCTCTTTGAAACCACACAGAGTTACTGCAAGTCAATATAGTTTACACTGTACACCACAGGTGTGATACCCATTCTGCTCCAGATGTTTTAACCTTCACTTTCTGGAAGCCATAGCCAACAGTCAATTAAGACTCTAAGAACTGATGAGTGAAACATCTGGATGAGCCAAAATGATTTATCCTGCTGTCAAAAATACTGAACTGGGTGGAGGTGGGAAGTGTTAACAGTTTTACTTGGTTTAAGGCAGCTTCCTCCCTATGTTCAAAATGCAGAAAACTATCCCTCAGCAACACACTGAAATACCAATGGGGGCCCATTTCTAAATAAATGCAGCAACAGCAGCCTCTCAGAGTTAGTCCTTGTGTTCCTGTGTGTGAAGAAGTGGATTTTGATCCATGAAAGATAACACTTAAATCTGTTAGTCTCTGAAATGTCACATTTTGTTCCTTGTTTTCTCTTTCTTCTTTCCTTTAATGTTGTCTTTCTTTCCTGAAAGAATCTGACCTGAAAGTGTATATTTCTTAGCAGGAGGCACATTCAAAGGAGGTTCAGCTCACTCAACATTTATATTTTAGATTCCTACTAGTTCCTCCTAACATTTCCCCCCTCTGATATATACTTCTCCATATGAATAACCTCCCCATCTGCAGCTTGGGTAAATTCATTTTCGGACTACAACTTCCAGAATCTTAACCATAATTTTTCTAGCTGCGGTTGAATCCAGAGAGAATATAAAAGAACTAAGAGGAGCAAAAATGACATTCTTATTTATGATTTTAAAAACTGTTTTATGGAATCCACTTTTGCCTGTGAGATTTATCTATTGCGCCTTTAGGAAGTACAGCACTGCTAATATAATGTAAGGTCACCTACCTGTATCTGCGCTGAGTAACAAACGAGGTTATTAAATTCTGTAATAAATGTAAATACATAAATAAAAGATTTATCTATATATTGAGAGAATGAGTGCAGGTGATTGTTTGGATGTCCAGAACAGCTGGTAACACTAGCTGGGTTCCAGCTGGTGCCACCTTAAAAATACTCAATAATGCAATCTTCTGGTCAGATTAGTCCACTAGTCCAAGCAATTCTACATAGATTTCGTTGGATGCCCCACTAAGTCCAGTGGGAGTTGGTGCTTGGAATATATACTTACTATGTATCCTGAGTTAGCTGCTCTATTTGGTGCCCAAGAATTTCAACATAGCTAGAGTATAAACAGCTTAGACTACTGCCACCCTCTGCAGCTTGGCTTTTTTCCCACCCTGGGAGAAAACAAAACAGTCAAACCATTGTAGAGCTGCCGTTTATGACACTAAGCCTTTGGTCTAGATGGGCGGGGTATAAATCTAATAAAATAAATAAATAATAAGATGCCCCTGGGCTCCGGGTCAATGTATACAGCATTTGTAAACACTCTTGTTACATTCTTATTTTACAATTTCAGTAAGTTACACCTAAGCTGTTCAAGGTGGGGAAAGCCCTAATACAGCGGTTCCCAATCTTTTTGGGACCGCGGACCATTTGGGGGTGCGGGCTTTGTGCGCAGACTGGTTGGGGGGCAGGGGCAGCCCTGTGCTCCTGGGTGGGCGTGTCACGCTTGCGATGGGGTGTGTCACGCTCATGGGTGGGCGTGTCGTGCTTGCGGAGGGGCAACACGCCCACCCGCAAGTGCAACACTCTCACCCATTCTCAAAATCTGCCTGGCTTCTAATTTCAGCCCACTGGGAGCAGTGGCGGCGGAACCTACTTGGTGAGCGCGGGGCTTCCTCATCAGGGGCTCCCAGAAGCACCTTGCTTCAGAGTTGTCTCCCTGGTCCTAGAAGGCACAGGAGCAACTCCGTCACCAACCCTCCACGCCTTGTAGGGGCACGGGTTGGGGGTTTGGCACCACCAGGCTCCTGGTTTTAGGTCTCTCTGTCTCTCCCCCCCTCCCGCTGCTCTTCGTGGATCACCTGGCAAGGCACTCCGAAGTGCTCCAGCGATGTGCCAGGGAGGGAGGGGGCGACACAAAGCCCTTACCTGGAGCACCTTGTCGGGCCACCTCTCCGGGCATTGGTAGCACCACCACTGCTGCTGCTGTCGCCTCGTCCTCTCTGCGGCTGAGGTAAAGGAGGGGCCCCACTCAACCTGGCCGCATGCTTCTCCTTCCACCCGCCTGACGCTCCTCCACTCCCTGCCCAGATGTGCCATGGGAGGGGGTGATGACAAAAGAAAACAGCCTTCTCACACGTGCTGCCCTCCCCCCCTGATTTCTATTCGCAGCCTGCCGCGGAGAGCTCGCACCCATCCATCTGTCAGTCTTGATGGTCTGTCACTCGTTCCCTCTCTCTCTCTTCCTTTCCTTTTCCTTTCCTGCTGCTGCTGCTTGTTTGTCGCCGCTGCCAAGGCCGAAGAGCCGCAGCCAACAAGGGGGAACGAACATTCCGTCCAAGAGAACAAAGCGGCCAGTAGGAGGCACTGCCAGCCTGCCTGCCAACCAATGGGGAGTCATGAAATTGCGACACGCCCACCCACAAGCACAACATGCCCACCCATGTGTGCGGGCAGGGGTGGAGATCTGTGTCCACGGCCCAGTTGAAGGATGCCCATGGACTGTCACCAGGCTACAGACCAGGGGTTGGGGACCCTTGATCTAAACAAACCACACAGGGAGTGCCCCCAGACCACTTTACACCTAAACCTGTGGAGAAAGTTCTCCCCTTAATGGAGCTTCCAATGGGAAATAAGTTAGTTCTGGCCCATACCCCATTCCCCACTGCTGATTTATTTAATGGGGAGAAAAAAACCCTTCCACCATATTGAGAGGCCCTTCAGAAGTACCTGGACTTGATCCAAAGGATCATTACTACTCACCACTCTTCTGAGCAGCCTCCTACGCGAAAATGAGAAATGCCAGGCTCTTGCTAAGACCTATGCCTGGTATATTACTCATAGGGTTCAACAAATAGCCGATGGCAATGGAACAGTTGATCAGCCTGAAGCAGCAGCCCTCATAACCCAAGTTATTGATCCCAGTCCTAATAAGCTTGCTGGGCCCCACTTGCTGAAAGCAGCAAGAAATGCTGTAATTCATGGCCTCAAACTAAGAGTGCCAAAGGCTGTGAAACCTTCACAGAGTATATGAGATTTTTAAAAACCCCAATGAATCCCCAAATGAATTTCTGACGAGGCTCAAGAATGGTTTTCAACGGTACACTCACCTTGATCTGGATTTGGAATCAACAGCCAGCTGTGCCACAGGTGCAGCTCCAAAAGCACCCAGCCATGTGTGAACTGCAGCCACTGAACTGATCGAGTCCTGCTGGTGGTCTGGTCAGACAGCTATACACCAGCTGTAGCACAACTACACAAAAGCACTTTGCACATGTCTCTCTGCTGTCTGTCTACTCATTGCCCTCCTACCCGGAATAACCACGCGAGACCAAGTATGTGGG